CCACAAAGAAATGCTCTTCCTCAATTTGATGATTGCAAGCTTCACCCTCGTCTTCTGGCACCTCTTTGTATTTGAAGACCCTCTCAACTAACTGTCGTCATTTGATAAAGTCATCTGAAACCATACTTACATCAAACTCTAGTAGTTCCACCTTTATCCTAAACTCTTTGTGTCTTTCATATGTGGTGTCTTCTCTCTCAGCCTACTCTAATAATGGATTCCAAAGCATCATAGTCTGTCTTCTTCATCACTGAAATCCTCCCTATGGAAGAGGTTGAAATTCTACTCTCTTTCGCCCCTTCGACTTTCCTTGTCACGATCAAGAGTAATTTCCCACTAAGTTTCAACATCAATGTCCGCGAGCCTCAAATGAAGTCGGCGGATCTTTCGTTGTATCTCTTCCCATGTAGGCTCGGGCATATATCTTCTTGGTGGTGTAGCTAGAATTTAGAGTTGGGAGGTAAAATTGGGCGTAAAACATTATTTAGGATTGTTGATTTCGAAAATTAGCAAAGGAAAATTAGGGTTAGATTAAAGTTTCGCTATGATATGGGAATAGGGAAAAAAAATTGGGTGGATGTGGCTTGGCTAGGGGCAGATGCTAGGAAAATCTAGGATAAGAGTAGGGTTGGACTAGCTCTTATACCAAATGATACCGAAGTTAACCCAAATCACAAATAAATGCAAATTTTATTGTTGAAATTTAGAGAGGTTACAACCAAGGCTCTTGAAAGCATGAAATAAATGACAACAAGCAAAGTGACAACACCCTAGGGTGAGGACAAAGTTGGTAAGTGCCGGCAGGAAGCATGTAGGGGCAGATTGGGATTGAAGGTTCAACATTGTGGTTTGGGGAAAAGGTGGAAAACAGTGGTTGAAAGATAGGTAGAGGGTGACAGCATGAATAGGAAGGCTGGAGAGGGGAGGAGGGCAGCAAGTTGGGGCGTGGGGGAGGATTCAAGGCAACAGGTGTAAAGAAGGGATGGGTTGTGGCTAGCAAGTTGGGGTGAGGGGGATTTTGCAGTTGTAGGTTAGAGCCCGGTTTCTGAAGAGGGGCGACAACAAAAGGGAATGGGAGAAGGTTGGCTTTAGAAGATGGCAGTGGGGGGAATGTGGGGCGAGAAGGCAGTGGTAGGTGGAGGCTAATGTGGAGAGTAGTAGCAGAGTGCGAGACAGGTCCATAAGGCAATGACAGAGAAAGGAGGCGAAGTAACAAGGATTGCAAAAGAACAGTCGCGCCAAGATGCCCGTTCTTGCAGCAGGGACTGTGTAGGTTGAGAAGGAGAGCATCGAGAATAATGACCACCTCAGAGAGAGATGCACCCAGAGCTCCACTTGTCCTCGGACACAACCCTAAAAGAGAAAAGGGGAATGTTAGAGGTTTTCCTGATAGAAAACTCAATCAAAACTGAACACTAATAACATAAAAAACCCTATATATAGTAGATAACTAGGAGGGGAGACCACTCTCCTTAGGCGGCAACACTAGCCCATAAACATGGACCGGCCGACCCTGCTCCCCTCTTGGCTGAACCGGTTCAACTAAACCAGTCGATTAGCCACCTAGGGAGCCTCGCATCACAGGTGCAATCAAGCCACTCCCTAACTTGGTACAACCAATTAATCCAACAAATATTAGGATAAAATTGCTTTATTCCAACCGTTACCAATTGCAAACTAGATTCTCAGAATGCCTCAATTCAATCTGATACATGGCAGTCGTAAGCATATCCACTTAATTAAAATAATCATGATATCAAATTAATCATGTTAAACTTGTTACTTAGACAAGGAAACTTTTGTATATGATTTTTATCTATATTCATGCATTTTTCACTTGAATGCACTTAGTATTATTTAGGACATTTTTATAATTTTTTTTAAAAATTTCTTCGCTGCTATTAAATTTTATTAGTCATTTAAATAATTCTCGGCAATTTTATATCTTATTCATATTTTAAGGAACTCCTTAATTGGAGCTTGTTGTAAATTTCATGTCTATCAATGTGATGTCAGTTAAAGGCACAACAATTCCATAAAGTGCCACTTTTCAGATGAGGCATCTCGCTTTTGATCAATCATTAGTCTATTTACATAATAACGACCAAACCCATACTCATAGTCATGCTATGGTACAACATGAAAGTCTCACTAAACAATGCAACACATTTTCATTTTATGTTCACCCAAGAGGGAACCATGATTTTGATTCCTTAAATGGGACCAAGTTCGAAATTACAAGGAACAAAAATGAGTACAACCAAGTAGACGTATAACATCAGACAGAAGTATGCAAGTATAACTCCGGCGCATCAAGACGTTCAAGAGGACATTAACTACCTAAAGCCTTTGAACTATTTTAGAAATAAGAGATTGTTAGCAAGGATGCCATTCTAATAAGTTCCAACAGTTATACATCTTAGCTCCTCACTTGATGGCCAAGTTCTTCATGCTTATTCGTTGTTCTAACGTTGGTGGTATTAAGAAAAAAATAGCAAAACTTCAACAAGTTTAAACAGAAGAGAGGACGCTCAATTTTCATAGCACCAGGTCTATGCAAAACAAAGCTTTGGTCAGAATAAGGCAAAGCTGATTGAGTTAATATTGTGGCCACTCAATGATTTTGAAAAGATATTAGTCCAAAAAAGCAACTCATCAATTTAGTGTTCGCAAGTGAGTTCAAATGATGGTCAACTATTGGTTATTACCATGGTTGATTCTAGCAAATTCAGCTTAGTTCTAGTCCTCCCTCGTTTGAAGGTGACATCAATGTGTGGGGCAAACTCTTTTTCCAAGCCATGGGTGCTAGGATTCTCTTTTTTTTTTCTTTTATTCTAAAAGTTAAATTCAAAATACATCACAGAAGGATAAATCCATCAAATAATTGCATATGTTGAGCCAATATCAGTGGCATCCACTCATATTTACGGTTTCAAACAAGCTACGTTGCATTCTAATCATGGGATCTGTTCAACTTATGCATAGTATTCTTCGGTCACAAAGCCTCTTATGCAAAGAAACATAACAAGTCATTCTAATCATGGGATCTGTCAAACTTATGCATAGTATTCCTTCGTCACAAGGCCCTTTATGTAAAGAAACATAACAAGTCTTCAATTCACTACATAGATTGCATAACCAATTGACTCCTTGATGCGCAAAGGAGAAATTGGAGTGGTGTTCAAGGTGCAACAAAAACTAAACTGCTGGCCACCCTTTCAGGGAAATAGAAGTCAACTTCATTTTTCAAGGAGGTTGAGTTTGTATAAGAATCTTAATCATCTTCCAAATCCTATTCTTCAATGGAAGCCAAAAGTTCAGGAATTAAAATAGAATGGCATCTTCTTCCTCATCTTTGATGCTAATCCTATGGAGAGGAACGATAGGGCTTCATATGCCATTTTTGACATATTTAAGAATGAATTTAGTCACTAGTCACATTTTTTCTTGTCTTTTGGACTAATGTTTATTGCCATGGTTGAATATATTAAGCTTTTTACAATTGACACCACTTCTTCGGATATGAGTGCAAGGGGGGGATTTTTGGCACAAAGCACTTAGCATCATCAAATATCCCTACTTCATTAAGAGTAAAGGGTAGAATCGACATCAATGTGGTTCTCTTCTCCACACTTAAAATATTTCTTTAATTGGTTTATAGTGCAAGATATGATGTCTGACATATGGAGCAAAGTGCTTGTGATGAGAGCTCAAAATGAGCTGACATTCAAATGCACGCAATTTTTCCAACATAGAAAGCTTTCCAAACTTTAGGAAAACCTCATATATGACCATGATGGTGTTCAAATCATGAAGCAAGGATTCTTGAATGTTAGGATCAAGAAGCAATCTCATCTTTAGTTTGTGCATCAAAATGGGCAGCAAGTGGCGAAGACATTCAAGCAAAATAAAAGAAGGAAAATAGTCGTGCTCTTATGGACTTTATAATATGTTTAATTAGGGCTAAATCAGAACAAAAACTATACAAAGAGTTAAGTTATTCAAAATCAAGAAGAATGATGGAGAAGTGAGATTCAAGATTTTGCCTTCGTGTTTCAAGGAAAGTAATTCAAAGAATAAACAAACACAAAACTAAGAGGACACTGACCATGAAAACCTGATGAGGATTGTCGAGCTTAACTCTTCCTTATTCACAAAAGAGAAAGGTTTTGGGTGTAATGGCATTAAGAAATGGTGTCATAATGTCGCAAGGAGGGGAGGTAGAAAATTGATTTGAAGATTGGGGTAAAGTGACTATACTCTTGAATTGTTTTATTATCTATAAATTCCATTAAGAGTATGGTAAATGATTTAAACAGTGATTCAAGTGTGAATTCTATCAACATCACGACTATCTAAACTCCATGATATGTGGAAAAGATAAGCCTTGAAGAAAGCTCGTAAAGCTAAAGAAGATAGTCCACACATATTGAATAAGGTGCACAAGTAGCCCAACTACTACCGAGTCAAGTCTCAAGTAACCCGATTGGTGTGAGCAAAGTGTTCGCCGGCAAACCTTGGAGAAAAGGACCAACTAGGGATATTCAGGGCACTAGCAGTCTATGCACTATGGAAGCAAGCTATGTGGATAAGTTAGATATGTAGCACCAGGTTTTTAAAAAGATAATTCCCTGTGTAACATTCCTTATTATCCTTCTTCTCCTTCATAAACCCAAATCACAGTCATTATTCTCTCTTCGCCAGTCTCCTAAATTATATATCTCGACTAAGGCATTTCCAAAAGCCAACAATTTTGAACCCAGTAACAGATTACAAACTCTAGAGTTGCAACTAAAAGAAAATTCCGAAACTTCAAGCTAGCAAAATCCACCCTCATTAAACACCAGGTCTCATCAATCAACGTTGGCTTCAACCTTTCTTCCATCGATTTCTAAATCACAATTCAATAAGATTTTCTAACACTACCCAGAAATCTGAAACAAAAGGAAATCAAAATCAACCACAGCTTACGCTAGCATATCACGGTGACTGGTAATCACCTTGTGAAACTTGAGCAGTTCGAGTATCCCAAGGACAATGTCGTTCACATAGCAGAAGCCCGAGGCTTCGCACTTCTTGGCGTGATGGAGGCCCCCAGCCCAGTTGATGGCGATGTCGGCGTCACCGCGATTGAGCTTAACAGCAGCGCCGATAGATCCGCCGGCAGAGGCCTGGCAGAACTCGAAGAGGCCCTCAAAGACGGGGCAGTCCTCGCCGACATTGAAACGTCGGAGCTGCCGTGAAGACGATGACTCAAACGGGTGAACGCTGTTGCCATCATCAGCAACGCTCGCGCCAAAAGTGGATGCTGATGCAGCAATGAATTGGGGAGTGACGGAGGCGAGGAAGTCGACGTAATCCTCGGAATGGAAGCGGCGGATGTCAGCAGCGGAGGCGGGGTAGGGGCGGCACACCTCCATGAGACGGTGGAGATGGTAGTGGACGACGAGATTGTGAGCCATTCGGATCCGATGGGGCTTCATCGGATGCCCTTGTCCATAGTAGTAGTCGCCTATCGAAGGCTCGTAGAAGTAGCTAACCCGCCGCTTCCGAGCGTCTGGAGCCGCCGGCGAAGGCGACGATGAACCGCAAGAAGAGCAAGACCCCGCCGTAGGAGAAGCGGGCATTCTAGGCTATTACGAAACCACTCGGCGTGAACCCAAGCGGATTGAAAATTGTGGAATTTGTGGGGCTGTTTGGTAGCAGAATTTGAGCAGGATTTAGCCAAACTGCAAAAATGACAACCTAAATCCTCCGCTTTGCCTTAAATCTAGGATTTACGTGGATTTACGGGATTTCACAGCACATAAGGTTTAAACCCTATCAGAGCTGAGGCACGGGAAGGAGGAGCGAGAGGAAGGAAGAGAAAGACGGGGGTAAGTCGGCTTGGAGCGGAGTAAGAAGGGTTATACGGAAGTTTCAGAGACCTCTGTGCGCCGCGATCGACTGTACAGGATAAAGTGGAAGGAGGTAGGATATGGTTTCGGGTGATAGAGGGGGAGGGGAAAGAAGGTAGGCAGGTTTGCTGGGACGAGAAGAGAAAATTCCAAGGCCCAATTATATCAGTACTACGCACGTAAAAATAACATGCATAGTCAATCAAATCACGTCACGACATCTTATGCGACAGAGTAAAAAAAATGGCGCAGTAACACGGGGAATATTCTCTCCTGTGTTATTCATGTGTTATTGCGCGTTATTCATGTGTTATTGCGTGTTAATTATGTGTTATTGATGTTTTATTGTGTTATTATAACACCAAAAATATTCTCATGACACATAACACATGAATAACACACAATAACACTTGAATAATATGAGAAATATTCTCGACAGAAAAAAAAAACGGCGCAATAACATGGGGGAATATTTTCTCCCGTGTTATTCTTTTGTTATTGTGTGTTATTCATGTGTTATTGTGTTATTATAACACCATGAATATTCCGAGGACACAATAACACATGAATAACACGAGGGGGAATATTCTCTGTGTTACTGCGCAGTTTTTTTTCTGTGTCGCGCGGGGTTTTGTGGCGTGATTTCATTGGCTACGCACATTACTCTACGTGCGTAGTACTGATGTAATATTTTTTCCCCATTTGGGCCAGCTTATTAGTGTGGGCGTTATTTTCCGCCGTCCGATTTGGTAAAGCTTATTTAGAATGAATTTTGGAAAATGAGGTATTTGATTGTTTAATAAAAGAGGCCGCCGGATTTATCCTGCGGCACGAATTCATTTGTATAATTTTTACTCAGCTGCCTTCGTTTCTCTTGCATCTCATCTCTCGTGTCTCATCTACCTTTCACGATCCTTTCTTTCTCAGAATCAAAATCATCGCTATACAATCGACATCATAGCTTGCAGGGAAGCAAAGAAGGGATCGCGGCTTACAGAGACCACCAAAACTCCCATCTTTCTTATCCTTTCACCCCGCTCTGGACAAAAAACATTGAAGAAGTTAAGCCTATTCTCAACCTACTTCCTCTTTGCTTGTCTAGAATTTACTAAATCCACTCATTTACAGGATTTATCTTAAATTGGCACCATTTTGTGATTTATGGGAGCTAAGGATTTGCGGAGGGGTTTTCTTCCGTTTGGTAGGATTTAGAACAACTGGAAGTAACTATTCATGTTTGGCTCGTTTAAATTCCGAACACAAAAATTGTGTTCATGTTTGAATCGTTTACTTTGCAAGCAAAACACGAGCTGTTCGCAGACAAAAACTATTTTGACAATCCTAGTCATGCATGAAGCTGTTAGGGATGTAAACGAGCCGAGCTGAGCGAGTCCAGACTCGGTCTGTAAAAAATATCATTGTTTGTGTTTGTTTGGCTTATATATCGAGCTCAAAAAATTTGTTTGTGCTTGGCTCGCTTGTTTATCGAGTCGAACACGACCTATTCACGAACAATGAGCTATTTTGACAACACTAATCTCACGGTCATAAAATGTTAAGCGTGGGGCAAGATTTAAATCTAGTAATTTATATTAAAATATTCATTTAAATAAAATTTAATATGTTTTTAGTTTATTTTTAATTAGTAATTTTAATTGATTGTAAATCTTTTGTAGTGTTGTAGTCAATTAAACTATTTAAAAATAATACTCATTATATATATATATATATATATGTTTATTTATTTATTTATTTATTTGTTTGTTTATTTATTTATTTAGCTTAGTGAATGAATCGAATACAAGCTATTTAACGAGTCAAACACGAGTTATTCACGTACAACGAGCCGTTTTGACTGCAGTAGCTGAAAGATGCTTTCTTTACTTTCGAACAGGTCAACCTCAAGGAAGGCAGGTTTCTAACTTGTTGAGGAAATATTAAGCTCCAAAATATACAATTTTAATGGATGTGACAAACAAGGCTTTTAAATTTGATTTTGGGTATGATTAAAAGAAGTTTCCAATTCTAATTGTTTCTCCTATTTTTTTTTTCTTTCAGTTTGATTTTTACTGTTCACAAATCTTAGAAAGCATTAGTTAATCATTACTTTATATAATATGTGCATTTCAAGAAGTTTTTGTTTTACTGAATTTTACTCGTGTCTTCTTCGGATCTTTATGGTTTTGTTTTACTTTATGTTTATATGAGGTCTTACAAATAATATTACTTAATATGGTTAGAATGATCATTTATCCACAAACAGCTACAAATTAGCTGTTTTCAAACAGCTGCCCCTAACAAATCATCAGCTTATCCAGATAAACTGTTGATTAATAACTTATCAAGACAAGCTGCAGCTACCCCAAACAGACCCTAAGTGGGGGTAGTCGAGATGCAACAGGACTCAAATAGAGATGTGTGGCATATTTATATTAGGACTTATAAACATGATATAAAATTTATATCATGAGAGTACAAATATGGTATAAGCACAATATAAGTTTTATATTTTGTATGTCCTTTGAGATACAAGTATGGTACAAGAGGGGCATACAACTTGTACTCTTATGCTAAAACACGATACAAAATTTATATCTTGCTTGAACAATGCTTGTACTCAAAGGGTACAAATTTTATACTCTGCTTGTACTCTGACTCGATGTAAATGTGTTGCGCATCACGATGTTATTGAAGTCTGGATGTAATATTTTTTGAGGAGAGGAGGGAAGGGGAAAAAATTTAGGGATTTTACAAAATTTTATATAAGTTAATTTTAATTAATTTAATGAATTAATAGATAATATTTAAAGAAAATATTAGCATGTTAATTATGTTTTTAATAGTTGGTTATAATTATATATCAAATTAACTATAGTTTTATAAACTTATGTGTAATTATTTAATAATTAACTAACTTATAATAAATTACACATTAAATTTAATGAATTATTCATTAATCTACAAATAAACAATTAATAATTAATTGATTAATAAGATTATCATATGATAAATAATTAGTTTAATAAATTATTATTAATGATATAGTTTAACTAGTTAAATATTTATTATCATAATAAAAAATAATTTTTAATCGAATTTAATTAGATTTGATAATTACATCATCGATATATAATGTTAAATTTATATTTCAGCCAAAAAGATTTAAACTCCAAAATAAATTGTCAAATTGTCTCATAATATTTCATCAAATTTAACATATATCATGTTAAACAATTCTCAAAATTTAAACAATTCATTGTTTACTAAATATAAATTTAAATGATTTATTGAATCTTACTTAAGTTAAATTCTATTTGTGGCCAAACAACCTCTATATGTTAGTCTTTCCAAGTAATACATTTACTCAATGGGCAATTAGATATATTGGTTAGAGGCCAAATTATAAAGAATGCATGATTTTTCCATCTTATTTATGGAAATTTTGTTTTAAAATCATGTTCCTTTCATATTAGTTATCTCTCTTTTAAAACTTTAGGGGGAGAAGCTTATGTTGGTCATGTCACCCAAGTTTGTGAAAATTAGACCGGTGAATGAACCAGGAGAATGAGAGATTTGAGGTTCATTGATTGAATCTTTGTTGAAGTGGATGATGTAATAAATATTTAAACTATTTTAATATGATTTAAATGATATAAAAAATAAAAATATATGATAATGATAAATAAAATAAATTCATAATTAATATTATCAATTTTTATAATCAAAACTCGATATATAACTTATTAAGATATAATTATAAATATAGATATAGGTATATTAAACATTTCAAAAAATTTTAAAAAATTATAATATAGCTGTATAAATATGATTTATAACAATTAACGTATATGATTAGAATAAAATTTGTAATAAAATAATATATATAATAATTTTTTTCAAATTTTAAATATATTAAATGCAAATATATTATATTTTTTTTATTATAAACTATATCTTACTTAATATATAAAATATATTTTATAATTTAAAATAAGAATATAAATTGTAATGACAAGATAGTTTATCGTAATTAAGAAGAAAATAAAATTTATATTATTAACAGTATAAAATTTAAAATGTTGTTACTATATTTTTTATTTCATGTCCATTTAATAATCTGAAAGCCCAACACTTGATTTTACAATCCAACTCAGATTTTAACATATTCAAAGCTTATTTAGTCCCACATTATAAGAAAGACTGATCATTCTAATGTCTATATAAAAAGAGGGTGCTTAATAAGATGAGCAATGAACATGCTAAAGCTTGGTACCCTTCATCATTAGGTAATCTAAGAATTAGTTTAAGTAAGCTTACATTAACATGATTAAAAGATTTTCTTAATCTATAGCTATAAGTTTAACTTAATACAAACATAGCACCCAATTCTTATGGATTTGCCTATCTCATACCTAACGATTCATTTTTACACGCACAACAATTTACTTATTGATGAAAAAATGGATTTGACTATAAAAAAGTGATAATGAATGCTAATTTTCATATGATATTTATATATATATAAGTTTTGGTATGAGAAAGGAAAATATGAAAATTTTGGTTGTTATATATGTAAAAGCACTTAAAAATTAAGTCTGGACTTGTTCATTTTAAATAACCAGGATTGGTTTGTCAGATTACCTCTTGAACTGTTAAATTAAGTGGGTTTTCACCATT